CGCTGCCGCCGCTGCTGCCGCTGCATCCGCTGCTGCTGCATCCGCTGGTGCAGCTGTGGGGCGCAGCTGGGGTCCATCCCCCGGCGCCGCCGTCCCCCATTCATCCCGCCCGGCGGCGGGCGAGGGAATGCGGCAAGGGCCCCGGGGGGGGCCGCTGAGCGTGGGCGCCGACGAATACAAATCCGAAGCCGGCTGGGGATTTGTAATGCAAGCGGCGTTTCCCGGTTTCTTTTCCGCTTTGCGCTCGTTCTGCTGTTGGATTTGAGATCATGTATGTGTTTCGCTGTTGATTACAGGGGGGTGTTAAAATCTAGGGAGGGAAGAGGATTCAGAGGGATTAATATGTTAGGTTTGATTTAAGGGGATTTTTATTTTTTTTTTTTCCGCTTAGCCCTGCCCTTCATCTTTGTTAACACAGCTTTGTCTTTATTATTTTTATTTTAGGTCGGTTAATATTGTAGCCTTCGGGAATGAAAGAGACAGCTTTTCTGAGGACAATCAGCAGCCAAGCCTGATCTGGAGCTATCTCAGGAGGAGTGCTCTCGTTTCCCGGATTGACAGCAGTTTGTCTGCCAGTCACGTTGGAAACCCAGTTTTTACCGAATATCAAGCCTGCGTGTTTGGAAATGTCAGGCTGGTGGTACATGACTGTCCTGTCTGGGTAAGAGATTCGTCTCAATTTTTTTAACCACACTTAACAGCGTAAGTGGTTTTCATCAAATGAAAATGTATCCTAATTTTAAAATTACTCTTATAATTGTGGGCGTTTGTTCATATTTTAATTACTGCTAACAGTAAAAGCATATAAAATGTAACCAGGCAAATGCTGCAAAGTCTCCGAGGGGCTACAAAAAGTTTCTCATTAACAAGTCACTGCCCACCTCTTCTGTAGGAAGGTGATATTTTCAACCGTGCTGTTTAATGAAAACTTTATTGACGGTAATCCAGAGGTAAAAAAGAACCCCTTTTTCATGACTCTGCATCATAAGCACTCTCCAAATATTTATCAACAATAAAACAAAGCGTACATATTTTTTTCTGTAAAAATGAAAAGGCAGTCAGTTTTCCAGCTTTGAAAAGTGAAAGATTATAATATTTTATATCTTGCAAAATACAGTATATGGAGAATCATTTTACTTCTGTTATAATGAATAATCACATCTTAACATGATTTCCTTTATTTGAAGGTGAATACAAATGATTTTGACACTCTTCCAAGTTGTCAGCACTTTTGTTAGTAAGTGAGACAACTTAGTTATGAGTATGAGCAGATCAATGATTATGTAAGAAATGATACTGATAATCTAAATTAAAACATACTTAATGACTACTTAGTAGCCTTAAAAAAAATTAAGATTAGCAGCTTTTAGAAATTAAAACAATAATCAGTTTCAGCTCTATAATTCTACCCTTAGGTTGATTTTTGAAGTCTTGTAAGGGAAATCTTTTGGGGGATCTGCGGGAACCCTAACACTTCCAGAAGTACATGACCAGAAGTTTGTAATCTTAAAACTAAATGATCCAGTTTAGCTTCCTTCTGTTCTCTACTTCTCACACTATTTTTGTCAGCTGCACTTACACACACCAGTTCCAATGGACTGGGGGATCCTGTTTTAAATTGCTGAAGCTGCATGTGACCTGCACGTGCAGTTTGCTGGTGTCATTGGAGCGCAGCAATGAGTAAAAACTCCTGAGTATAAATTAAGGCTGTAGGACTTCAAAGGATGTTTCAGAGGATTGGAGGTTGGTAGGGGAGGTGGGAAGGCAAGCAGGGATATCTGGAGAAGGGCAGAAGAAAGGACCGAGACTGGAGATGGAGTTCATGGTTTTTTATGCTCTTTTATCTGCATTTGCTTTTCTAGAAAACAAGGCTCTTCAGATCTGTAAACCATATTACTTTTGCCCTTGAAAAGCTAGCTTTTGATTGTCTGGGACATTATGTTTCTGAGGCCTCTTGCCTTTTGCTTTCTCAGTTAGAGACAGGAGATTTATTACTGGGAATGATGAGGAACAACCACCATTCTTTGCTTAGTAGAAGACATCTCAGATAGCTGGACTGGACTCTGCAGGAGGTTATTTGTTCTGAGTGAAGGTGTATCCTTGGTGGGGTTAGGCAGAACAGGATTGTTTTCCACAGTCTGGAAGCTTGAGGTTTACTAGGTCACAGTAGTCCTTCCAGGAGTGTTCCTCTGGTAGCCTGGGGAAATGATACAGGACAATTAAAAATGTTGATTGATGTTGCCTCAAGTCGTATTCTTCATGGAAAAGAATTCTTGTTGCACGTTACTGAAACATAGAGGTGGTGGTATGGTGGGCCTTGCGTTATTTCCACCTCTATTGTCTGAGTATAATGTAAAGGTGAATTTGCATTTTACCTGAGATTTGTATCTCATCTAGATTATATCCATATGATTAAGACAAGCCAGTATTAGACATAAACTTGGCAACTGAGTACCCTAGTAGCTGTGAGTCTCCAAACTCAGGGGTGCCCAACTGCTCGATGTCCTTTACAGCTGTCAGTCTGGAAAAGCAACGTGAATGCAAGTTCACCAAGTAGAGCTCCCAGCGCATGGGGGGACCCTTTTGTGAGATGGCCAGATTGTGGTACAGGGTGAGTTTGCTCATGTTTTGATTTGCTGCTGCATGTGTCTTTGTCAGCCCAGGACAGTGCTCAACTTTTTGAGTCTACAGGAGGAATCAACAGCTCAACCATCTTTGGTTGAACTCTTCCTGATGGTATTATGGTATTGGGCATCTTACCATGTACTATATGTCTCTTTGAAAGTGCTGCAGCAAGGTTTTCCAGCAGCTGCCAAGGCACTTATGTACTGATGGGTTGGAGAAACATGAAGGGCCTGGACCCTGTGGTCAACACTGCCACGGTGGCATTGTCCTGGTGGGCACGTGGTTGGTGAAACGGCAGCAGTAGTGCAGCAAGAGTGTGGTATTTTATAAACTGAGGGTGACCAAAACTGCAGAGCTAGGAAGCAAAGCTTCTTGGGCATGATTACCCAAGGCAATGCCCATCACATATCACAGACAGACATGAGGGAATGGTGTTTCCAACCTGCAGTGGGACCACTGTTTTCACACAGTGGCCCCGTAAATATTTTATTTGCCTGTGCGGGTGCTATATTCTTTGATATTGCTTGGCTTAGAAGATTTCAAGGCTAAATTCATGTCTGCCAACATGTAAAACAGTGGCAGCATGTTGGAGAAGCATCTCTTTCCTGTGGCAGTTGCAGTGTGTAGGATGGAAGTGCTGACTTTGGGGAGGAGGTTACTGCCATGCAGGTGACACAGGGTTGTAGAGAGAGTGGTGGAACATACTTTTCAAAATCTGGGGGCAAAATGTCACTGTTTCCAAAACTGCACCGATCTCTGTGTGTCAATCACTGAGTATATCACAATGGCCCACTGTGTCCTGCGCTGCTTTTGCAAAGCTGCATGCCGATATCTCCCACATGCAGGGCACAGATGCACAAGTGGGCTGACATCCTTGTGATTCATGTGGCTGGAAAACATTTTGATAAAAAATGCAGACCCAGGATGAGAGGAGATAAAAAGAACTAGGGAAAATGTATAAAGGTGCTAACATCCATGCTGAATATTGTGATTTTAATAGCTCATCACTTGCTAATGCATGCTTGAGTTGTGCTCTCATAAAACGTGTTGAACTAGCATTTCCCAGTTTTTTTAATTCTTTGTGGGGTAAACCTCAGTATGAGACACAGTAACTTACAAGGAGTAATTTGCAAGATGAATTTTAAGATTCGCTTTGGAAAAGGTTGCTTTATTTAGCACTCTATGTAGGATTTGACAGTCTTCAGGACTGAGTTGCCATTTTATTGGTTTGCATGTAGTTTGCAACTTTAGTCACTTTACACTGAATTTTGTTATGCTTTTGCATAAGTACAAGTAAAAACTGCAGAAAAAGTGCAGGCAAAATTTGTAATATCTGATGGCAAGTGAATCTTAGATTTTGTTAATTACTTTTAGTAATCCAGTCATATTACTGCTTCAGTACAAAACTGTAGCTTGCAACTTTTTATTTTTTAGTATGTCATCCTTTCTCATATTTAAGCTTGGCTGTCTGAAGTTGACAGTTTACAACAAGTGATCGTATCCTAGTAAATTATTTTCCCTACTGTGTTCTTTAGTTTTGCTTTTTACAAATATTATTAAATTACTTTATCAGAGGACAACACAGGAAGGACAATGCTAGCCTTCATTAATTTTGTTTCTGGGTCAGCTGAAAGCTGTTTTGGAAAGCCTTGAGTGAAAAACAAAAGTGGCATTCCAGGGTTGTGGTCTGAATTCCCTCAATTTCTGAAGAAGATACTTCCTTCTATGTTGCATGTTACTTAGCTAAGTTCAGGGTTCTAGGAAGTTATGGAGAGTACGCACGCAAAATTTGTTCTGCTGTGGACCTGGCTGATGAGAAATTGCAGAGAAATCTTGAAAAAATGGGGAAGGCTCTGGTACATGGTGTGGAAAGCGTCGCTGGAAGGAAGGCTCTGTTAATGGAGAATAGGTCTGTAAATGCATCCTAAAGAGAGATGAACTTTCCAATATTCCCAATGCAGCTCTCTTGGATCCTGGGGCAATCCCAGGGGAATGAATGGTCCTCGGGGGTGGCTGGGCTCTCTTGTCCCCCCAAAGAGCATTTGCTATTGCTGCTGCTCCAGATCAAGGGCTGGGCTAGGTAGACTTGGGGACGTTTATGAGAAGGTTTTAGAAAGAGTGTGGGCATTGCAAGGACACAGTGTGTTTCATTGCCGTACCATAAAGGCATTCATAAATTATGTTTAACAAAGCAAGTATTGTCCTCTCAAGGGGTCATGTGATTTTGTAGGGAAATCAGGCCTTCATTGCCTCTGAAGGCTTTATTTTCAACATTAATGCTTGAGAAGTATGATTTACTAATGGGAAGCATATATTATGAGATGCTTATAATGGAGACACACAAGGACAAAATGAAGCTTTTTTCTAATAAGTCCTGAGAGGAGAAGCAACAGGAATATTATTGTAATTAATAAGGTCATATTATAATAATCTTAGCTATGCAGTTATTTTTCTTTTTGTCAATGGCTGTCTTGGGAAATGACAAGAGCAGGAAGCATGATGAGGAGTAGCTGCTACATAAATTTCATAGATGGAGCCTGGAGTGAACATTATTCCTGAATCTGAACTGTTGCTCTTCATCTAAAGAAATTCCTTCTGTCATTTTTGCATGAAAGCTTCCCTAGAAGTGACAATCAAGGAGGCTCCAGATGCTCTGTCCCAGTGATGCTTTGGGCAAATAACCCTTCGTTGTCAGAGATCTTTTTGGAGGATTTTCCCAGCACAGAGCAGCAATCTGAGCAGTCTATGCTAGGCTTGATGCAAATTGAAAACAATTGCAACAAGACCTCTGGAAACTTGTTTTTCTCCTCTGTGTTTTTAAACATAACATCCATCTTCACGAATGGGCTTTTGGGGGTGTTAAATATGTGAGGGCATAGGGAAACTGCACAGCAGTAACAGAAATTGGGTGTCATGGGATGTTGGGTTGGTACATTCTGCATTTTTCACTTCTTGATGTACCCAGGACTGGCCCTTACCCCAGGAAAGTGGGGTCCATCCCCACCAAAACTTCATAAACTTTGGTAAAATCCATCTTGATGGGGTTAACAGAGACACACAGTGGTGGCACAGGGCAGTGGTGGAAAGCACAGACCTCCACAAACCTGCTGCAAGGTGCAGCCACACACACCTGGGAAGCTGTTACAGCCTGTACCACCTTTCCATAGGATTTCTTTCCTGTAATAGTTAAACAAAGAGGTGTATTTGCACACCTGTGCAGCTGTTTTCAGTAAGGATTTTGCTAGTTTTCCCCACACCTGCAGAGATGGAAATATGGCAAGTTGGGCTAAGTACAAAAAGGGTAGGGGAATCATACGAGCTTGTTTTGTTTTCCAAAATATAACTTTTTTTCTAAAGACCATTTTTTTCTTTAGGGGCCCCCCCCCCCCCCCGTATGTGTTTTTGCTGTATGATATTGACCCCTTAAGCTGCTTTTGTGTTACATGCATGAGCAAGCACACGCAGACAAACACAAGTCTACTACTTCAACATATTCTGTTGAGATTTCCATCAATGAGCAGAGCATTAGAGCTGCCCCTGGTTGAGATTAGGGCATGGAGGGTCTTCCAGACTGGTGTTTTACTGGATGATGCTCTAATTGGAGAGCCATGATGAAGGCTGGGGCCAGAGCAGAGCACGTGTCTGGATGTATATCAGATAACTGGTGTCCCGTCCTCTGCTGCTGGTGGGGCTGGTGTCAGGATGGAGCCACAGCTCCATGCATTTTGGTATCTAGAAGCCCTGTTAGGTTTATGCTGAAGCTAAAGCATGAGAGTCAAAGCTGGTTCTTCCCTTGGGCATAGCTCTGTTCATATTGACCAAAAACTTAGAAAACTTCACAAAATCGTTCTGTTTTGTAACATGAAATAGTGTCATAATGCACTGGAGATTTAGCTGTAAATTTTTAGCTGTAAAATGGAGGGAGCTACAAACCATATACAAACATACCACTACATATAAGAAATACATATTACATTCTGTAAGAAGATTGCTTAAAATTTTTTTATTATTAATGCTTAAAGTTGTGTTGGAGTTCTTTTGCATTTGTGCAACTGTGCTCCGGACCTTGCTGGTGATACTGCTGGTTATCACTGACCTCGGAGATGGGCATGTACAAACTGGCCTGAGCTTGAAGACAGGCAGCTAGAAGGAAATTGCAAAGGAACAGGCATGCTTTCTGTCTGCCAGCATAGAACAACTAAATATTCTATGTTATTTTTTGGTTTGTATTGCATTTTTCCCTTAGACCTTTGTCATGTTAAATGTATACAACAACTCTACTAAAAATTCTCTGTTGAGATCTTCATCAGCTAAAATGTATTAAAGCTGTCCCTTGAAAATTCTCAGTTTTTGCCTGACTATGTGATCAAATTCTGCAAATGTCCATCTAGCTGGCTGTCTCAAAGCAATGTAGCAGGTAGTCTTACTGCTATAGGTGCTAAACGTGTGTTTATGTGATAACTTTATATTCTTAACACAGCCAAAATTATTCTGTTAAATGCTGGTGGAGATTTTTCCTTAGCCTGGGATTATAATAGTCTCTAACTGAGCTGACTGAAAAAACAAATATGAAGAGCAGTGCTCTTAAAGCTCGTCAACATGGTGAATCAAACAATATCTATTCATGATAACTTGTTAACTGTCATTTTCTTATTACAGAACAAGAACATCTATTAAAGAAATTAATGGGAATGCCTATTATACTTTAAGTTCATTTCCTGACTTATTTTTGTTAAAGACAACACCTAAATTGGGTATGATGTGCACTGACAGTCTAGGCAAATATTTGCTGACTGATACACTTCTGTCAAGTTCGTGCTACCTCTTGTACTTAAGAGTATTGCAGCTACCTCACCGTAGGTTTGAAACAATGACTCTTTGAAGTGATCAAAAATAATTATATTGACAATGCAAGCCACTTGTTGATATCAATAATCTTTTATGTATTTCTCTGGTTCCCATCTGTAATGCTCTTATTTCTGTGACCTGTTCTTCAAAATCAAACTGACCATCCCGAACCCAAACTTTGGGTCCCTTTTGGCACTTCTTCTGTGCTCACTCTTTCACATCTTCTTTATTTCGTGATTGCTTGTTTCCATTTTCTCCTCAAGATCCCAAGTTCTTCTATGCTTTGCCTCATGTTGTACAGGACTGTTATAGAATCGTAGAATGGTTTGGGTTGGAAGGGACCTTTATAGACCATCTAGTCCAACACCCTGCCATGGACAGGGGCATCTTTCATTAGATCGGGCTGCTCAGAGCCCCATCCAACCTGGCCTTGAACATTTCCAGGGATGGGGCATCCACAGTTTCCCTGAGCAACCTGTTTCAATGTCACACCACCCTCATTAAAAAAAAAAAAAAAAAAAAAGTCTTCCTTATATCCAGTCTAAACCTACCCTCTTTCAGTTGAAAACCATTGCCCCTTGTCCTGTCACTACAGGCCCTGGTAAGAAGTCTCTCTCCATCTTTCTTATGAGCCCTCTTTAAGTATTGAATGGCCACAATAAGGTCTGTCTGTTCCAAGATGTTGTGGTATTTTAGTTTTGTGAGTTGATTTTCAGTTCCAGATTTTCATCAAGAATTTTCAATTGAGCATATGTACAAAGCCGTGGCTTTCATTGGCATTTCTAAGCCACCTTCAGGTAAGACAGAAATTGTGAAACTATAGATCTCATGACAAATATACAAGTATTATCTGTATGTTACAGGGGATATAGCACAGTGTAAATTAACAGGATACAAAATCATTTTAGAGTGTAAGACTTACACTTACAGCGCAGAACAATGACAAATTGAATATGAAGTCAAGAAAGTTTAGTTATGTGATTAAAGGCCTTGTCCTGAAGATATTAACACTTCTTAAAGCTACATGAAAGCTCTTGTGAAGCAGATAAAAATCACACCCAACTGCTGAAACTTGTATTTAAAGGTTCATAGGTACACAGCATAGTTCTCTGTAACCGTCTCCCTAAAATGTTGTGATAAATAATGGCTTTGTATGAATTGCTGCAAACCTCTACCACTGAAGCTGCTTTTATTTCCTTAATGAAAACATTTGAAAGTTAAGTAATTAAACCAGTAAAGTTTCTTCCTGCAAAGTATATTCCTAGATAAACCCTATTTTTTCTTCCTGAAGAATTCCTGAATTCATAAAAGAGATTTATTGTGTACTACAATGAACAACTTGTTCTCCAGACAAGGAAATTACAAAGCATGAATTCTGGTCTTTGTTGCACGTCTTCAAATAAGAGATTAACTTATCAGTTAAAAATACTTTTGTAAGGTTTTGCATTAAGACTGTTGAATATTTCACCTTTTCCTTTATAGACAGGAAATCTTTGATCAGTGTTTTTTCTGTTTAGGATATATTTGACAGTGACTGGTACACATCTCGCAGTCTCATTGGAGGAGCTGATATTATTGTGATTAAATACTCTGTCAATGACAAGACTTCATTCCAAGAACTAAAGGACGGTTATGTACCAATGATAAAAAAGGCCTCAAACCACTGCTCAGTTCCAGTGATAATTTCTGCTATTGGTGCACGAAAAACTGGTATGTATCCAGTCTCCTGTAGTAATAGTTAAAATCTCACTTGGAAGTTAGATATGCTGTAATTTCAGTATAAGCTGATTGTTTTTCCAAGTTGCTAACAGAAACAATTAGTCTGTCAGGATGATGGTAATATGTGCATGTATTATGGCTCTGTAGACTGGTGTATTGGCAAGAGCATTATGCTTAATTAACCCTGGCGATGAAAGGCATCCTATCCTGCTTTGACCTCTGCAACGACTCTTCTTGTGGAGCCATCACACACAGGGATTAAATCTAGTGCTTTGGATTAAGCAGCGTGCATCTGAGTGTATGAAATGAATCTTACGGTTACCAGTTCTCTCTGGTCATGTCTCAGGTATAAAATATCTCTAGTGTACGAGATTAAAACTAAGTCCATCAGCTTGCAGCCACTGGCAAAGGGGTGGGAAATTCTCTGGCATCCTGTCATAAGAACAGAGTCACCAGCCCTTTGGGTACCACAAAGTGCCACATGCTGCTGCGTCAACGGCGCTGACCTGTCACGGCAGGGTAGCTATGGTATAGCAGTGGTATAGCTTATGTGTTCCCATAACACCCTGTCCAGGCTGATCAGTAGTCCGCTGTGAGAGCAATGCAAATTGATTTTGCACTGAATGTTTAGCTACCACAAAGTTGTTGTTGCTGTCTAATCAATAGCAAAATCGAAGTCTCATGAGTGTGGAAGGACCGAGTGGACTTAAAAGTGTCCAGCAGCTGACGAGGGCAATGCTGGTGAGAACATGTTCACTGTTTGGGTAGACGTTAGCAACTCCTCTCTGTTTACATCAGGGAAATAAAGTTCCGAAATACCACAGACACCGATAGAACAAACATACAAACTTTGTTCTGTGTTTCCAAATGTTTTGCATTTTGCTTTTGTTGATTTTCATATGGTCTTTTTAGTTGTGCGGCCTGATTTTTAGTTTTGGGTTTTTTTTTTTCTAAATCAATGAATGCAAAACTTGAGCCTGTGAGTCATCTTTTAGTTTGAGTTTGACTAAAACAAGTGTTTCTGAGCATCTGTCCTGCTATGAGTAAGGGACACGATGGATGTAGATGTAGACGTTTATTTTATAATGTACAAAAAAAATTACACTATATGAAGTATGTCTTTAGTGGCTGTAATGCTCAGTTTTGCCAGGGTCTACATAGATATCTTTTTGCTCAGTGATTGAGAAAAGACTGTTAAAGAACTCTGTAACAATTAAATCTTTATTTTCTTCCCTCTAGTAATTCACTGATAATGATCAAATGTTTTTAAGCTCTGATTTATACAGGGATAATAAATCTGCCATTCTATAGGCAAGGTCTTGCTAATATTTGTCTTCCCCAACACCTTTTCTTACACTTTTTGTTTAAGCACACTATACCATCAGTCTGAGTGACTCCACTACTGGGACTTTTCTTTTCCACTTTTTTTTTTTTTCTGTCTTCCTCCCTAAATAATGTGACCGTGGGAGAAGTCAGGCTCTCCAGCCGCAGTTTCACTTTGGGACCAGCTGGAGCAGACTGCTGTGCACACACAGAACCCTTTTGTTTCTAGGAGGTATTTGTGAACACAGCAGTTTGCTCATACAAATTACTAAGATCTTAATCCTCTGTAGTAGCAAGTGGTGCTGCCAAAAGAAATAAAAGAAAAGCTGTGTTATTACATATTATCCATAGGTCTGAGCAGAGGAAATTAATGTAGAGCATGCACGGCACATTTGGAAACACATCCATGGCCGGCAACTTCTTCCTGGCATTAAGCAAAGTTGAGCCAAGGTCGCTAACAGATTTTTAGCAGTTAACTGGTGTGGTGACCGATTCCTGCCTCCCTTCTCCTTGCAAACGTTGCTGACACAAAACCACGAGCACCTTGCCACCGCGGGCAAGACAGAGAGCTGCACCACTCTTTGATGGAAGCCCGCCTGTGGTTTGTGGTTTGCTTTCGCATCACAGCTGCAAGTAATTGCGCGGAGGTAAAGCTTCTCTCCGAGAGCTGACCTGAGGACAGAGCCAGCTGAGGATCTCACTGACGTGGTGACGTCCTCCCGGCCAGGGACGCTCGACTGGATGACATTGCCAGTCGCCTCCATTGTAACCATGAGCGATATCTGTATTATCATCGCTCTTATCAACACGGAGTTCATAACGGCTTTTATCCACCATTATTTGAATGGAGTTAGATCTGGCAGATCTAAGGTAGGAAGCATTAGCGAGTATTTAGATGCTTAATAAAGTATACATACGTTAGTAATCCTGATGTTTGGCTGGTTTAACTCTCTCCCTACTGGAGCTCAATGGGTACGGTTCTTTTGTCTCCCATTTGCAAACATTATCCTGTGGACATTGGTCTGGCATTGTACAGGGACCCGCTTTAAAAACCAGATGGGTGGAAGTAAGGCAGCCAGGGAGGGATCTGGGCACTGTTGTGACCCAGACCTGCCCGACAGCCTCAACCTTTACCGATGCATAACCCCTCAGGGCAGTCGGGTTATGACAATTGGCATAATCTTAAAAACACCTATTTTGGCTTAAAAAAATTTTTTGTAAAATATGTGTAATTGAATCATATTCCGCAGTATGTACATGCCAGTAACAGCTGGGACAACAGTGGAAATTTTTCCCTTCCATTATAGTGCGTGCTTCTTGCATGGACAAGCCACAATAATTAAACGAGTTTAATGGTGACATTAATGAATGGTAACACCTGCAGGCTAGTACAACACCTGTGTGTATCAGGATACTGAGGCAGGCCCTAAGCCAAAACTGACTTCTGGAAGTCCTGCTTGACTTTTCCACCTTTGCAAAACTGAATGTAAATTAACGCTGATGAAATGTAAACTGAGTTTTGTATAGCAGCTAATATTTTGAACCGATTAATAAGAAGTTGGGGGTTTTTGAAATAATTATAGATTTTTTTATTATAAAATGACTATGTTTCCATTTCCCTTTTTGTTCTTTTCTAAATAATAAATCTTTACAATTATTTAGGAAGCTAAATATTCTGGATTATTTGACAAAAATGTTTTGGGTTTTTTTTTGCATGACTTTTTACCCCAGGAGTGTCTTGCACCTGCCCCCTGTGCACTTCGGACAGGAGGAGCTGTGTCACCACCTCCGAGGGAGTTCAGCTTGCCAAGGAACTGGGAGCCACTTACCTCGAACTGCACGCTCTTAATGACTTCTACGTACAGAAGTACTTTGGAGGAGTGGTGAGTGAGAAACCCCTGGGTTGAAAGCAGGGCGGCACACATGGGAGGTGCATGACCGATGTCAGGGCTTCGGAGAGCGAGCAGAGGCACACCATGAGCCCTCCCACCAATGCTAGATTTAGGTTAGATATTATGAAGAAAATCTTTATGATGAGGGTGGTGAGGCACAGGAACAGGTTGCCCAGAGAGGTTGTGGATGCCCCATCCCTGGCAGTGTTCAAGGCCAGGATGGATGGGGCTTGGAGCAACCTGGTCTGGTGGAAGGGGTCCCTGCCCATCGCAGGGGGGTTGGAACCAGATGATCTGTAAAATCCCTTCCAACCCAAACCATTCTACGATTCCGTGATTCTATGATTCTAGCTAAATTGGCAGTACTGAGGTTGCTCCAGTTTTAGCTACCTTCTAGGAAGTTTTAGGAAAGTCACAGTACACACTGCAAGAATTCCCCCCCACCCCTCCATTCCTGTCCTTTTATCTTGCTGGGATGGGATAACCAAACCCCAGCTGGACAAGTCACTTGACAATGCCATTCCACTTTGAAGATGAGTCCTGTTTTGAGCAGGTGCCCTGGTTGGGTGACCTCCACAGGTCCCTTCCAAGCTGAATCATTCCATAATGTTCTGATATTTTTAATTTTAATTGCTCAAACTCTCACAGCTGTTCTACTTGTAAAAGGAGATGGGTGAGATTGTTGAATTGCCTGGTTTTTAGCATATTGTTGCGGTCGCTCGGTTTGCAGTCGTGGTGCAATTTGCAATCCTGAGCAGAGCCTGGGGTCAGCTGCACCGAAGCTGAACAAGGCAGAAGCTGAGAAGCTTGTTAAAATGTCCTACTTTTAATAAGCTTATCCTCTTTCCACTCTCCTGAAGACAAGGAAGCCTGCTGAGCAGTTTCTAAATACAGTCTTTCAGATGTATTTTTCTTCTCCACAAAATTATTTCACACTGGTATTTCATTTTCAGTTTTACGAGGTGTTTTAAGCTCAGTCTTCTTTTGAATCTTTTGGTAACTTTCCCAGTGGCATTTGTTCTTGAACAAAAACATGCAGTTCTTTCAGGAGAGTAATTGCACATAGTCTGTACTGTTGTTGTCCCTGGTGTGTAAGTACAGTGTGTTCCCCTGGGATTTGATAGTAACTTGGAATATCTGGCACAACAGTTAGCCAGTTTCTATTGGATCCCTTCATTCCTAATTAAAACCGAGGAAGGCATACAACATCTGTCCAGCCGGAACATTTTTCTAGTTTTTAGAAAACACTATATGGGCTACAGTAATACCTTGGGTGATGAAAGTGTTTAAGACACGCATTAATTCGAACTAAACCACCCTTTGTGCCTCTTCATTCCTGTAAAAGGGATAATTTCCCCTCACGTACTTTTTCATTGCAGTGATGATGCTTTTAGTCTGTCCCAGTGAGACAAACCTTGCCCACAAAGATCAGCCCGTAGTATGACTTTTTCAGAGGACATGGTAACATTGCGTGGTGATGGTGGTAGTCAGTTGCAAGCTGAAGAGCTTGTATGTGGTTCTGTTACTTCTGTCACTTGCACTTCATCATTATCCACCAAGTCTTATTCTTCTCTGTAATTCTATAATTGGTCATCCATGGAAGGTGGTAAATCGGATATCTTTGTACCTGTCATTTCTGGGAAGATTAAATACGAGAGAATTAACAGCCATAATTTGCATAAATAGCCTTTTAAATTGTGCTAATTCCAACTACATTTGGTCCCTGCTCCTGGTAAAGGGGTGCTGGGACTCTCCTGGGTGACTGTTCATAGTGGCAGTAGCCTCAGTCCTGCATACAGCACCTGCTCGTTCTCCTTAGTTTGATGTCTAGGTTGTTCTTAAATAACTAGGGTTTTTTAAAAATACATTTCGTGTTTTAGCTGGAATATTTTATGATCCAAACTTTGAATCAGAAGTCATCAGAAAAAATGAAGAAAAGGAAAAAGACGCAGAAGTGCCATCGAGTTCAACCACCTCAGCTTGAACAGCCAGGTGCTTGCTGATGTTTGGTCTCTAGTATCGCTCGTTATGTGTGTCATGTTCTTTGCACAATTAACATTTTGTAATCATTACGGTGAGCTGTGCTATCTATCATCAGCTATTCTGGTTATGTTGCTCTAGTGTCATCATCTTTTAGTGATGCTTTAATTAATTTGGGGGGAATTGTGAAGCAATATGTAACATTGCAATGGACTTCTAATTTATTTCAGACAAAAATAATAGGAGTGGTTTTCTGGTGCATGAAATAGTGCAAAAGTAAATTAATAAAAGCATTACATAAAAGCTTTATAGAGAAATTACAAAAGGAAGTCGTTACATCATTCTTTATTATTCTACAATATCATCGAGTAATATTTTTATTTGCTGCAAACAAAACAAAGGAGATGTGTATGCCCCTGCATATGATTTCTAAGCATCTGATGCATTCATTCAGCGATGTAATTACTGATAAGTAGTTACCTCTAAATACATAGCTGTCTCCTCTCACACGTACCAGAAATTCACTCAGATCCCTTAGGTTTGGGATTCACAGGCCAGGTTTCTTTCAAACCTAAGTGCCTGCAGAGGTTTCGTAAAAGGATGGACGCTTTTTACTAAACTAAGTATTTCTTATATTATTTTACTATACTAGGTGTTTCCATTTTTAGAGTATTTTACTAAACATATTCAAATGGCATATAAGAAATTTTCTTGTTGAATACTTCTTTCAAAAATTGTCCTTCATTTGATCAGCTTTCTGGGAATAGCGTTGTCCCGCGCTTAATCCTTGCTTCAGTTCTACAGCCCGGCTCGTTGCCTTCCACAGAAAAAATGCCGATCTTAAAGGGCGAAGCCTCGCACTACGACGCGGACCTGCACAACCTGCTCTGCTGCTGCCAGTGCGCGGACGTGGCGTTCTACCCCGAAGACCTCAGCACGGTGGTGGAGGCTCACAAGATCATCCTCTGCTCCGTCAGCCACCTCTTCATGCTGCTCTTCGAGGTGAAGACCCCCGCCGACATCCGCGACGCCTCCATCGTGCGGACGGCGCGGAGCCTCTTCGCCGTGGAGGCGGGGGACCCCTCACCCCCAGCCCCCCGTGGCATCCCACCCTGCGTCCCGCCGGTGAGGGTGGTGGTGAAGGACTCTGTCTTCTGCTCTTGTCTCCCAGACATCCTCCACTTCATTTATTCAGGTACCCTCCCCGGGAACGGGTCCGGCTACTCATTTCTCGTACAGCTGATGTCTCCTGAAAAAAGCCCTTCGCCTAGATTTAGTAAAAATTAAATTAGTTGTCATTCCAGATCTAGCGAACCTAAATCAAGCACCATATTTTACTGAACAAAGTCCATAAGCTAACGCCAATGATATTCAAATGTTTGCCAAAAAAATCTAGAGTTTGAGACGGTTTCAGATCCCAGGCTTTTGAAATACTTAAAATTGTTGCATGTTCTAAACACATGGACGAGAGCTCGGGGTTACTTAAGAAAACTCAAGTGATTTCTCTTCTGGATGTGTTGCTGCTGAAGAGAAAACAGTGATAACTGGCTGGAGTGCAGGGGGCTCTGATTTACTGCATGAGTTTTGCTACCAGTTCGGTACAGGCAGGGACCACACCTGCCTAATCCCAGCTGTCATTAAAACAGCACTGACACTTTAACTTTTCAAATGTTGCTTAAGAATCCTTAGGTGACAGAGAACTATTTTTTTTTCTGGAAGTACCTGATACCTGTTTGTTCTTTATAAAATATTTTGCAAGCTGTCAGCACATAAGAATATATATTTGATATTTGTTGAGAGAATTAGTAGGCTTTTTAATGATGCATTCTGATTTTAACTGTAACTTTAAAAAAAGCCCCAAATAATTATAATGTTAGAGCTGCATCTATAAAGAAGCTTAGCCAATACCCGTAGAGTGATACCTGCCTGATGTATGAAAAGGATTTCTGCCTTAGTAGCTGAGACGTGAATACTGGCTTGTGAAGACACAAGGGAGACACTTTCAGTTAGAGTTTGTACATTGAAAACATCCCTTTCAGTTCTTTCCAAACCAGTCTAAAACATAAAGAACAGATGCAGAAGTTTTTTAGTGTGAATGGATTTATTTTTATTTTTTTTTTATTTATTAGTGACATGAATAGGGGATTAAGCCTGGAATTTCAGCAGCATCTGAGCGCAGCGTCTTCATCTGTTACCATTTACAACTTTGTGTCTGCTGCCTTTTGTGCACTAATTTTACTTTTTAATTTTGTCTGTGACAACCAAAGAGGTGGGAAACTTTGTACGGTTTTAGGTGAAACTCTGCTGTAAGTCACAGCTTCCAACCTGAAGGCCACTGCCAAAAGTCATCGCACCGTTTGGTGCCTCTGAGAGGTGACGAGGACTTTTGAAGACACTTGAGGCACAGGCTAAGAGATAAGATCATGAGGCGGTATCGTTGTTTTCAGCTTTTCAGGACTATGACGTTATCCCCACAGGGTTATAAACACCATCCATATTGTGAACATAGGAGCTGATAGAGCTGAAGACGCTGTTTCAGCTTTATCTGCAGCAGAGTGCCTTCAGGGCTACGCTGACTTGTGCTTTACCTTGAGCTTTATCTGCCCCTGACTCCCCCTTGCTGCATGGCCCTGGGGATCAGAGCTGAAAGTTGTTACCAAAAAAGCCCCATGGTGTCTTTGACACTTACTCCAGTGAAGTGTATGAAGATAAACTATGTTTGTTTTAACGCTGGCCAACAGTTTTCATTTTTTCCAAGGAAGCTATTGAGAGATCTGAGAGACTATCATGGCTTTGACTCTGTACACAAGAAAAAAAGAAATTCTACTGCAAACCTTGTGCTGTTTTTAGTTACCAGTACTCAGAATATAATTGTGCATGAAGCTTTTCTGGTTCAGACACCTACAAAGCAATGCAACCAGCAGTATGAGCAGAAGCTAAAAAACTTCCACAAATATTGAAACATTCAGGATTATTTTTTTTCTGCTTATCTACCTGCAATATGTAATGATTGAACTGGGAGGAATTCAGAAGTTAATTTTGAAAGCAAGAGAGATGCCCAAGTCTTTGTATTCTTGTAAAAGTACCATGGAAGTTTGATTGTCCAAGAATTGTATCTCGCCCTTCCTAAGCACAAAGCACAAAGATCTGGCTGATTTATGCACCAAAAAAAAATTGTTTCTGCAGGATCTGTTTGGCATTGATATCGTCTTTTCTCTGCCTGCTAAGTCCTGTGCCTTGTTGATTTATAATCCAACTTTACCTGCTCTTGTGGCAGGTGCTTTCCAGTGGGAACGATTAGAAGAGGATATAAAAAAGAAGTTGAAGGATCCAGAAAAAACTGAACATGTGCTTGAGAAAGTTAAATGTATCCTGAAAACTCCAGGGAAGGTACATCTAACTCTCTTGGGGTAACTCTTAGTATTAGTTACTTAAGTTCTTGGGAAATTGTTTTGTAGACAAGGTTTCCTTGTCAGTCTTTGTTTTAAAACTCACTTTGTCTTACACAGCTTTTATTGCTTTATCAGTGGGTTGTTCACAGGCATTTACAAAACACAAAAACAGAGATACTGATGTAATGTGCAGAATTAGTGTAATGGATAAAAAGCACACAAGTAGGTATCCGAAAAGGATTAGTCATATTCACAGCTTTGCACATTGTCTAACAATATGATTATGTGTTGCTAATTCTCATGTAATAGAGGCTGCCCAGGAGAGCTTTGCTTTCCTGAATATGTGCCAAAAGTTATGCTTCTGCAGTAGATCAGGAGAGGTGGTTTCTTTTATAAATGTTGTGGTGCGGAAATCTGTCTGTAACTCGATATATTTAATTCAGCAGATGACTTCACAATAAAATGTAATTTATGTCACATTATTATGCTAATAAAATGTTACGGTATAGAATTAGTTTTAACAGCCTTTTGCTACCCAGTAAATCTTATACATTCCCTGATACTATAGAACTTGCACAAAGTGTTTCTGTCAATTTAAATGGGAAATAATCTTGGACTGTCTTGAGATAATGTAATATAAAGATTAAAAACTTACTTAGCAGTTTTAAGCTTCTGATCTCTCGGTTGTAGCCTTGCCAGTCCTGAGTGTCAGAGCTGAAATATTCATAGGGTTGGACTTACAAAGTCCCAAAAGCTTTTAAGATAATAAGCCTGATTTGTTGTTGTTGTTTCTTTGGGGTTTTTTTTGTTTTTTTTAAATGCCTTTGGGGTACTTTTATTTCATACTTAAAAGTTTTTCTTCAAAGTCATAGAAATGAATTGTCATTTTTCCTGATAAAATTAAAAATTAATTACTAAATTAGATAAGATTTTAACCATAAATTCAACCTTATCTGAATTTCACTTACCACAATCTAGCAATATGATGTTGATGTTGTTCCTTTTAGTAGCTTGAGATTCCACTTTTAAAGTAAAAAAAACAAAATTGAAAACTAACTGGAAGTACTAGTTTTTGGAGGGTCTTGACACTAACATGCCCAGATTATTGTAAGAGAAGTCTGTGCTTCAGCCTGTAAGCTCCCTCTGCCTCTGTGGAGGCAATATCATGGCAATATCAAGAAACGGACAACTTTTAGCTGCCTTGCATCTGTATGCAGCATTGTGCCAGGGGATGGATCTGTGTCCATCAGTGCTCCCCCCAGAGCCCTCAAACTTTGTGTTACTGCAGCCTTGGGCCTCAACAGGGCATTTATGAAAAGGTGTGGAGTCCAGAAAATCTGTGATGCAGTCAAACTTGCCCAGAGGTGCTGGATGTGGGAGTTTTGTCACAGGTCGGAGAGTACCAAGGCAAGAGCTGGGGTGTGACTGTAGGAGACAGAGATGCCTTGGAGCATTGCTGCACTGTGGGAAATAGGAAAATAAACAATAAAGGTGACTGCAGAGGATTGCATGTGCGAGAGGCATGGCTGAATAGCATTAGCAAAAGAACATAAAGTAGACAGCAGAAGAATGTTGTTTAGTTTCCCTGCATAAATGATGTCTTGTAATCTTTTATTCTGTGGGCAACTGTACATGACAGTGTTCTATTAATAATTTATTTTGCAGGTAAGCACTGTAAAGGACTGCAGATCTCACCAGATAAAACGGCTGTATAATACTTCTCTCAGGCTGTTCTTTAATACGCCTGTCCTAGCTGATGTCATCTTCAAAATACAAGGTAGGGTACCCCTGCTCCTGTTGACATACTCACCACTGCACCTCCAGCAATTATCCTCTCTGCAGGAGAGTGGGAAATGGAGGTGACTGTATTTTCTGTTGTGTCACAACTAGGAAAATGTATATGCTTTGCTATCACCGTGGAAAGCAGTTTTAGCTTAGAACTAACGCTTGTCCTTATGGATGCTTTACAGCAGTGTCCACTGTCATAACCCGACTGCCCTGAGGGGTTATGCATCGGTAAAGGTTGAGGCTGTCGGGCAGGTCTGGGTCACAACAGTGCCCAGATCCCTCCCTGGCTGCCTTACTTCCACCCATCTGGTTTTTAAAGCGGGTCCCTGTACAATGCCAGACCAATGTCCACAGGATAATGTTTGCAAATGGGAGACAAAAGAACCGTACCCATTGAGCTCCAGTAGGGAGAGAGTTAAACCAGCCAAACATCAGGATTACTAACGTATGTATACTTTATTAAGCATCTAAATACTTGCTAATGCTTCCTACCTTAGATCTGCCAGATCTAACTCCATTCAAATAATGGTGGATAAAAGCCGTTATGAACTCCGTGTTGATAAGAGCGATGATAATACAGATATCGCTCATGGTTACAATGGAGGCGACTGGCAATGTCATCCAGTCGAGCGTCCCTGGCCGGGAGGACGTCACCACGTCAGTGAGATCCTCAGCTGGCTCTGTCCTCAGGTCAGCTCTCGGAGAGAAGCTTTACCTCCGCGCAATTACTTGCAGCTGTGATGCGAAAGCAAACCACAAACCACAGGCGGGCTTCCATCAGAGTGGTGCAGCTCTCTGTCTTGCCCGCGGTGGCAAGGTGCTCGTGGTTTTGTGTCAGCAACGTTTGCAAGGAGAAGGGGGGTTCGGTCACCACATCCACTCTCAACGTGGTTTATCTGGGCTAAGCCTGTACGGATGCCATCTGCCTGCCATGGCAGGCTTTGTGCCTCTCTGATTCACGCGCATCCCTCACAGGATTAGCAAAACAAAGGAAAGGCTCCTGCAGTGGCATAGCACCAAAGTAGCAAGGCTAAACCAGGGACTGCATCACAGGGGATGGTGATTTTATTTTAAAACCTATTTATCTCACTCATGTTCTCACCTCCACAAGCACTGGGACATATCCGAGGGCTCTTCCCAGCATCAGACCTCGGAGAGGCATGGACTCTGGTGGCCACAGCTATGCTCGTTGCCCTCAGGGGAAAGACCAGAGATGCTGGTTATTGTCCCTCTCAGGCTGGTGCTGGCTGTGGATGTGCCTTTCTCTGCCCTCCAGAAGGTGACAGGGGCTGACGTCCTGCTCCTGTGCCACCTTAGGCTTTATTCACTGCCCTTCTTCCCCCAGTGTGGACATCCCTAGAAATGGACGTAGATGTGCTGGGGTTTTGATGACCTGCTAATCTAGGTGCCATCAACATCTGCTGGGTTTTACCGCCCTTCTAGATGCTCCCGTACTGATCTTCATGTTTCTGTCACAGGTCTCTGCAACTTCTCTATGATAGGTGACTCCTTATGAAAGCAACCTTCAACCTTGCGGGTGCCTAGGTTAGATGTCCCTATTGCTTAACCTGACAAGTGTGAAAAGAAATATCTAAATTATTGTGGGGACTTTTCTTTTAAAAAGTCTCTTGAGATGATGGTAATTACCAACTCCTCTTTGTGGCCAGGATTAAAAAGATATGAGGGAGCAGAGGCTGACTTGTCTGTTAAAGACATACAGAAACCATCATCTGTTCCCATCTTGTCTGCAGAGAATGTGCTTGGGTACACCAACATAGCTGCAGTGTCAAAGGTGATTTTTTCTGGAAAATAAATATATCCACCCTTAAAAATAAAGATACAAGGGGGAAAAAAAGTGTTGCATGCTTTTGTGAGAATAAGGATGAGATGGTTTTTAAATGCTAATGATTTTCTCCATCTGTCCACACCCACCCTTCATGCAGAAATGTTTTTTTAGGACTAGACAATTGTTTAATTATTTTCAGCTCTAAGTCTCGGAGTGTGCTATTAGTTATCTGTTGGATAGTATTACTTTTAAACACTTCAGTCATGTTCAGTGAAGTGGAGGCCTTCTAAGAAAATATGAGCTTTAAAATCAAGATCTCTCTGGGTATGTAAAATCATCATTGATTTTTATCTCGTGTCCTGCAGGTGCAACTGTACCAGCCCACAGAGCAGTTCTGGTAGCTCGCTGTGAGGTAATGGCAGCTATGTTTAATGGTAATTATCTAGAAGCAAATAGTGTTCTGGTTCCAGTGTATGGGGTTTCCAAAGACACTTTCCTCTCCTTTCTAGAGTACCTTTATACCGACTCCTGCTGCCCAGGTAAGAAAATTTTAAAATACACGTGTTTCTGTTACTCATTTTTCTGCAGTGGGGCATTGATAGGGAGTAAAGTAGCAGCATTTATTTCATTGAAAAATGCCAGTCTTGTAATGTAGAACGTCTCAAGAAAGAGAACTAGTTCATATTGTGCAATAAAGAAAGAAATCACTCTTATTCAAGTAAATTCAACAGCAGGCAGAACAAATACCACTAATAAAGCTGTATTTGTTTTGTGCTGACACAGCAAGACTCAAAAAACTGTGGAACTGCATTTCTGGTCCATTACAATGTTTGGAGTTTTTGCTCTACATCACAGTAATACTGCTTTCTAATCTTAATTCTGGGGTTTATTTCAAAATTGTCATTTTGTTGAGCATATATTTTGCTAAGTTTAATACAAGCAAGGTTAAATTGCAGGAATATCTTATTTGTATATGTGAATGCCTTATTTGTATGTAAAACCAGAATAAAAGTATGTCAACTGGCGTATTTGGCAAGAAAAATTGAGCTAGAGTATTTGTTGTGTCTTAACCTTTGTCTTTTTTAGTGGGAAGAAAATCTACACGCTAAATAAGAAATAGGGTTTAAATACGGATAACTTTCCTTTGATATAATGAAAGAATGATGTTGTGATATGTATTTTTGCTTCTGTTTTCTTTTCAAATAATTCTACCTCATTCTTAGGTTTTACATATGTTTCTCTTTTTCAGTCCGCCTAACTTTTCCTTGCCCATCAGTTTATATATGCAAGCACCATACCATATTTTTTTTCAAAAATAGAGTTGCTCCATCTTCTTTTTGGCCTTTTTGCTGTATTTTCTTGTACATGTATTGCAGATGTTCTTTTTTGAAAGGAAAGCTAGATCCTCTTATTAGTCATCACTTACTTTAAATAGACCAGCAGCACTTGACTTGCCATCTTCAAGATGCGGGATTTTGATAACAATTTATGACACTTTCCTCCTAAAAAGTACTAACTTCTCTTTTCCTGTTAAGTAGTTTATCAGCAAAAAGTGAGCAATGTATCAAAGTTATGATGATAGTGATGAAAAGGAAATAAGGTGATCAACAGCGGTTTGAGTTTGTGTCCACTGTTTAAAAGGTGACTGGGTGAAAAGTGGCTTTGATCATCTTGTCAAAAAGGCAAATTACATGTAACTTATGTTTTCTTGTTTTTCAGCCAGTATTCTGCAAGCTATGTCTCTCTTGATCTGTGCAGAGATGTACCAAGTAATGAGACTCCAGCATATTTGTGAGCTTTACATTATCACGCAGCTGCAGAGCATGCCTAGCCGCGAACTGGCATCCACAAGTCTCAGTATTGTTAGCTTGCTCAAAAAAGCCAAGGTACGCGTTGTGTGTAGCAACTAAGAATATACATGTCGACTCTGATTAGTGGGGTTGGTTTCGCTGATAAGACTTTTACTGCCTTAATGATTTCCCTGCCCAAGGACAAACACCGATCCACAATCTGTTGATGAGGGCTATCTAGCGGCACAAGGCTGGCTAAAATACGGCCTTCAGCCTTTTATTGCAGAATGCGCTGCCGAACGATGATCTCTGCGAATTCCTTCGTCATGGACACGTTGCGGCAGTTCAGCTTAATTGCAGCTTCTGCCAGAAAAGATGTGTTTCAGGCAAGTGAAGAAGCACTACTTGCCCTTTCACTCAAAAAGAAATTGTATGACACGCAAGTGGCAGAGGAGATCTAACCTGATAGAATATTGAGGGAAATACATACGAAGCAGGAAAAGAAAAGGCTAGTGGCTGACGAGAGAGAGAAAGAGAGACAGTAAAGAGAGATTTGGAAAAAAGAAGAGGAAAATAAAACCTGAATCGTTTACAAGTCTCAGGCAGGATATTGTCTTGAACAAACAGGATTTCGTGGCGAGAGACAACAAAACCAGCGTGCCATGCTCCTTACCTTCCTTTTTCTCCAATTCTGCTTCTCTGCAGAAGACAAAAATTTCCAAGATTCATGACCAAAGGAGGACCAGGGGTTAGGTCACACCCCCGGGAGAGGGAGTTTTATCATTCGTTCTTCGGTCTCCGTCTGTTTACATGTTTCCATCTATGACTTTTCCTTCGTTACCTCCTGCAGTCAAAACTTTTTGTAGTAAACTGCTCTGTATGTTGACAGGGGAAATCTGAAATATTTTGACAAGCAAGGCGTAGCTGTCTTGTAGACACGATAGCATTAAGTGTTGTTTGTGTTTCCTTTCTTCTCGCAGTTTCACAATTCTGATTGCCTTTCGACTTGGCTGCTTCATTTCATTGCCACGAACTACCTCATCTTCAGTCAAAAGCCTGAATTTCAAGATCTTTCAGGTAACCTATCAATTACTTCTACAACAAGACATGTTTCTCAGTTCTGCTTAAATCCGAAGCGAGGTACTGGACAGTACTACTTCTGCACGAGAAGGCGATGGGGACTTCTTTAGGCCACACAGTCTAGTCCAGTCCAGAGTCTGTTTGAGCTGGGTGCTGCACCACCCTACCGTGGGACCAGCATGCGACACGTGAAGAGCAGCATAGCCCGCAACTGCATCCCCTTGTCTTTTGGTTCCTGTACCGATGGCCAGGTTCCCACCCACAACTGAAGCAACTGGGACAGTTTGGTCACCTTTCGTCAGCCCCTCCACCTGATGTATATAATTTTTGTTCAGTTTGTACGCTTGAATCGAGGTAATGAGTCACGTCCAATACCAGCTCTTCAAGGGCTGGGGTTTTCTTTGAAGAAAGTAGGAACCTTGCAGTACTCTCCAGCAGATGTCAAGAAATCAAATAACTAATGCCCATTCAAGTAAATAAACCCAGGTTCTTCCAGGGAACTGATATTTATTTTCCCAAACAGTACATCTGATTCCCGACATGTAACTGTAGAAAGTTTTCCTCGTTGCCTATGGGAGTTTTCACTGCCCTGATGATGGTGGTCCTGATGGGTGCATCTCTTTGACTCGTAGTTCATATTCAGACCATTGGTGTGGGGCCAGGGTATTCCAGAAGGGGATGTTTCGTATGAGCGAGCCAAAGCTCTGCTTGTCCAAAGTACGTTAAAGGTCTTCTTTGGCATTTGCAAGGCTCGTACGTGTATTTGTGATGACGGACAACTTTGTAATCATTATGAGCAAAGGAAGGAGAGCTCGGTCCTCCCTGCTTTCTTTGGACCTGGAATTTGTCTTCCAGTGGCTCATCTGCGCCTCTTCTGCACTGCCCATTTGGTATAGCCAGGACTGGATTAAACGTGGGAGAGCAGGGCACCCGTGCTGGCAGGTGTCACCCACCCACCCGTGGGTTCGGTCCACAGCGGACTTGCTTTGCTTCCCTTCCTGCTGGTTGAGGTGACAGGGTGTGTTTGAAAGCACTCTGTGGCATCTTCTCGCTACAGGGCTTCGGTCTCAACCACCCCGAGGTTCTTCTGAAGCTGCAGGAATCAGGTTGTCCCTTCTGTTTGGTGAAGGTGGGAGCTGCCTCTGGCTTCCCCTTGGTGAGGCAGGAGAGCAGAGAGACCCTTCTGACTTAGCGTCCCCGCAGGGCTCGATCTAGGCACATCTACTTACCCGTTTTCCAGTTCCCCAGTGGGTTATCGGTTTGGCAATCTAGCTTATTAATCGTTTCTTTTTCTGCTGTGGAAAGCAACAGTGATAGCACTTGTGTCTCCATGTTGCAGTTATCCTGATGGATAGCAGGCTCCATATGAGCCTGTCGTGAAACTTAGGCGGGGATGCTGCTGATAAGCATCGCTTATCAGCACCTGTCAGCGTGTGCTCTGACAGCACCCGAGTAACTCGGGGATGAGCTGTACAGTGTCACCACGCCAAATGTTTGCTCTGCCATCACCTGGAGTTTCCTCAGTGCTTTCACCACTCACGGAGCACCCAGGGCTGCTGCAGAGCAGTACTAAAGCTGTTGGCCGTCAGATGAGATTTCTGAAGTCTCCGGTGGGTGACTGATGCCAGGGTGGCTGTTTTGGAGCCAAGCTCATGGGGGCTCACTTGAAGGAAAAGGGTACCATGCCAGGGGACTGGTATCCTTTGAGATTTGGTGTCCACACGCCCACAGCCTGTCCTTTGCTTTTCTCCTTCCTCTGTGTCATAGAAAGATAGAGTGGTTTGAGTTGGAAGGGACCTTAAAGATCATCTCATTCCAACCCCCCTGCCATGGGCAGGGACACCTTCCACTAGACCAGGTTGCTCAAAGCCCCATTCAACCTGGTCTTGAACTCTTCCAGGGATGGGACATCCACAACCTCTCTGGGCAACCTGTTCCAGTGCTTCACCACCCTCACAGTGAAGAACTCCTTCCTTACATCTTATCTAAATCTACCCTCTTTTAGCTGAGAGCCATTATCCCTTGTCCTATCATTAAATGCCCTTGTAAAAACTCCCTCCCCATCTTTCTTGCAGGGCCCCTTTAGGTCCTGGGAGGCTGCTCTAAGGTCTCCCAGGAGCCTTCTCTTCTCCAGGCTGAACAACCCCAACTCTTTCAGCCTGTCTTCATAGGAGAGGTGCTCCAGCCCCCTTATCATCTTTGTGTCCCTCCTCTGGACTCAGTCCAACAGGTCCATGTCCTTCTTCTGTTGGGGGTCCCAGAGCTGACTGCAGTTCTGTAGGTGGGGTCTCACAAGAGCAGAGTAGAGGGGCAGAATCCCCTCCCTCCATGTGCTAGCCATGCTTCTTTTGATGTAGCCCAGGATACAGTTGGCTTTCTGGGCTACAAGCACACATTGCCGGGTCATGCCGATCTTCTAGTCAACTAACACCCCCAAGTCCTTCTCCACAGGGCTGTTCTCAATCTGTTCTCCACCCAGCCTGTGTTTGTGCTTGGGATTGTCCCAACCCATGTGCAGGACCTTGCACTTGGCCTTGTTGAACTTCATGAGGTTCGCACAGGCCCACCTCTCAAGCCTGTCAAGGTCCCTCTGGATGGCGTCCCTTCCCTCCAGTGTGTTGACTGCACCACACAGCTTGGTGTCATCAGCAAACTTGCTGAGGGTGCACTCAATCCCACTGTGCATGTCACTAGCAAAGATGTTAAACAGCGCTGGTCCCAATACTGACCCCTGTGGAACGTCACTTGTCACTGTTCTCCACAACTTTTTGAGTGTCATGATCCAGCCAATTCCTTACCCACTGAGTGGTCCATCTGTCACATCCATGTCTCTCCAATTTAGCAACAAGGATGTCTTGTGGGACACTGTCAAATGCAGTTTGCACAAGTCCAGGAGGATGACATCAGTTGCTCTTTCCTTATCCACCAGTGCTGTAACCCCATTGTACAAGGCCACCAAATTTGTCAGGCACCATTTGCCCTTAGTGGAGCCATGTTGGCTGTCACCAGTCACCTCCTCATTTTCCATGTGCCATAGCATAGTTTCCAGGAGGATCTGCTCCATGGTCTTGCCAGGCACAGAGGTGAGACTGACTGGCCTGTAGTTCCCCGGGTCTTCCTTTTTTCCCCTTTTCAAAAATGGGGGTTATGTTTCCCCCTTTCCAGTCAGTTGGAACTTCCCCAGACTGCCACAACTTCTCATATATGATGGATAGTGGCTTAGCCACTTCATCCACCAGTTGCCTCAGGACCCACAGATGCATTTCATCAGGCCCCATGGATTTGTGCACCTTCAGGTTCCTTAGATGGTCTTGAACCTGATCTTCTCCTACACTGGGCAGTTCTTCATTCTTCCAGTCCCTCCCTTTGCCTCCTGCGTATTGGGTGGTGTGGCTGGAGCACTTGCTGGTGAAGACTGAGGCAAAAAAGCCGATGATTACCTCAGCCTTCTCCAT